AATGAAATTCGGCTTCTTCTGAGCTCTTCGCACAAGGCTCATAGCGAGAACCACTGGACCGAATGGGATGAAATCTGATGTGGGACTTTTCCTCTTCTGGACGTCGATGAGAACAAAATGACGGACCCTGAGGTGATGCGATCTGGTGGCCAGAGTGTGCGTGGTTTGTGTGTTTGGACCGGCTGCTTGGATTAGACAATATCAAAATCAGTATTTCGGAAATGGGGCGCTTTGGGTTCGATTCCTGCTTTGTGACGGAGGCCGCAAATCGCATCTGATACGCTGCTTGTTGCAAATCAGTCGGCTGGATTCCTGCGATGCGCTGGTTGGAAATTGTGATTCAGAGTCCAAAGCAAGAGATTCGTTCTCCTAAATTGAATTATTGTCGCGGAGTTCGCCATCGTTAATGCTAAAGAGGACTGTTTTGTCCGGCGACCGGCGCAGTGCGCTTTCACCTTAAGAAAGTCTGCTCAGATTCTGACACTGTCAGCCGGCGGTCTTGATTAATTGCTGACAGCGTGATTAGTCTCGCAGACCTCGCAGATGTCGTACCGGAATCTCGAAACATTTCCGTCGTTGCCTCGTAATCGTGGAAGTAGGTCACGAGGGCTCCACTGCAGGAGCGCGGGGCGACGAGGCGTCGGTGTTCACAGCCAACTGGATTGAGCACGAATAAACACGCGAACGTAAAAGTTAATTAAATCGTTCGTGGATGTCGTATCTTATTTAACGACTTCGAATCAAGTGCTGCACGTGTTTACTGTCGGATGAGAAACCAATTACGTGAACCGGAGTCCTTCGCGACAATCTGATAGTCACTCAGCTGGTCGAAGATTGCTGACAAACGCGCGGTGCTGGGGCAGTCGACGGCTTCACGTCCTATTCAAGATCGATTTTATTTTCATCGTCTCATTCACGCTTCAGAGTTTGTGACTGACTGTCTGATGCCTCAACACTCGTTGACCGAGCGTCACGCCGATTCGATTATTATGGCGGCATCTTCTGCGTTATTTCCCGAAACAGTTTTGTACCAAATCACGTCGAACGGAGCAGATTTACTCGGCGCGTGTTACGCCACTGATTTCCAGTGCGTCTCAAAAACGTCGTAAATATGAACACGTGCAAAGGCTGTGACAAGCCAAGAATTTTGTTTGGTCTCGGTTCTGAGTGTTTTTGTAGCCGCTAGGAAGGAGTTTCATGAATTTTGTCTTCAGTGGCGTTACAGCTCACTAATGAATTCTACGCGTTACTCATTTGGCTGAAAGTGAATGATTTTTTCCAGACGAACGGAAAAATAATTTCTGAACGTCAGACTCGTCTTGGTTTTTGTGTGGGGCGTAACCCACCGGGCCCAAAACTGTTTGAGTTGCAGCTATGAATAAATGCAATGAACCG